AGAAGAATATTTCTAAATTTATTGGTCTATATCCTCAAAATAAAGCCATTTCAAGCCAAAAAGGCTTCTTACATGCCTATTTTCTTTATTTCTTCACTTTTGAACTCCTTTATTCTCAAACAGTATCATATTTACATATTTATAATAGATAATGACTTGAAATCACATAAAAGAAGCATATTTCTATGTTTATGGGTCCATATCCTCAAAATGAAGCCATTTCAAGCCAAAATGGATTCATACATGCCTATTTTCTTTATTTCATCCCTTTTGAACTCATTATTTCTCAAATAACATTATATTTACATACTTATAAGATATTAAGACTTGAAATCACATAAAAGAAGCAATTTTCTAAGTTTATGTGTCCATATCCTCAAAATAAAGCCATTTCAAGCCAAAATGGCTTCTTACAGGCCTATTTTCTTTATTTCTTCACTTTTGAACTCCTTCATTCTCAAAAAATATCATATTTACATATTTATAAGATATTATGACTTGAAATCACATAAAAGAAGCAATTTTCTACGTTTATGGGTTCATATCCTCAAAATGAAGTCATTTCAAGCCAAAATGACTTCGTAAATGCCTATTTTCTTTATTTCTTAATTTTTTAAGTCATTCTTTCTCAAAAAATCTCATATTTACATAGTTATAAGATATTATGACTTTAAATAACATAAAATAAGCATATTTATAAGTTTATGGGTTTATACCCTTAAAATAAAGCCATTTCAAGCCAAAAAGGCTTCTTACTTGCCTATTTTCTTTATTTCTTCACTTTTGAACTCATTCTTTCTCACACCATCTCATATTTACATATTAATAAGAGATTATGACTTGAAATCACATAAAAGAAGCATATTTCTAAGTTTATGGGTCCATATCTTCAAAATAAAACCATTTCAAGCAAAAATGGCTTCTTACATGCCTATTTTGTTTATTTCTTAACTTTTGAACTCATTCTTTCTTAAACCATCTCATATTTACACATTTATAAGAAATTATTACGTGAAATCACACAAAAGATGCTTATTTCTAAGTTTATGGGTCTATATCCTCAAAATAAAGCCATTTCAAGCCAATAAGGCTTCTTACATGCCTATTTTCTTTATTTCTTCACTTTAGAACTCATTCTTTCTCAAACCGTCTTATATTTAAATATTTATAAGAGATTATGACTTCAAATCACATAAAAGAATCATATTTCTATGTTTATGGGTCCATATCCTCAAAGTGAAGCCATTTCAAGCCACAATGGCTTCTTACATGCCTATTTAATTTATATCTTAACTTTTGAACTCATTCTTTCTCAAACCATCTCATATTTACATAGTTATAAGAGATTATGTCTTGAAATCACATTTAAGAAGCAAATATCTACTTTTGTGGTTCCATATCCTCAAAATAAAGCCATTTCAAGCCAATATGACTTCTTACATGCCTATTTTTTTCATTTCTCAACTTATGATGTTATTCTTTCCCAAACCACCTCATAATTACATATTTATAAGTAAATTTGAATTTAATTGACATAAAAGAAGCTATGTTCTAAGTTCTAAGTTTAAGCTAAGTTTAGATACAAAATTATATTAAAGTTGTTACTGTAATGTTTTTGGATTTGTTATTTCCAGGCACCATTCCTTTTCCGTGGACCTCCTTGAAGCGTGTCTTCGTTAAAAGCTCATGTACAGTTGGTAACTTCCATTTGTTTTTTGCCGCCTTTGAATGTACATGCACCAAAACAAATTAAACTTGTCATTTCAATGTAAACCACAATTGTTACCTATTTCACTTGCCTTAAAAAGAAACTAACCATCCTTTTTGCATGTTGTACATATGAAATTGAACCCTGGTAGTGGGTTGGTTCAACCACATTGTCCATCGATTCGCCTCTTCTGTTCCTCTTGTTTTTTTCGGACCGTTTCTTGTACGTATCATCATTGGCAACAATGTGCATCATCTTCCGGTGGACATCCTCGATCAGCCAGTCCGGCTTCTCACCTTTCATCTTGTGTGTGATTGTGTGAAACATGTCCTTCAGCCGATATGCGAACATGGATTCAAAGGATCTCTTCACATGGTCGTTCAACTCAGGTGCTCATGTGCATTGCTTTTGCAATTGGCAAACATTTAAAGTTATCAACCACAACTCCATCAATACATTTAGTAATACATAGTTATAAGTATAAAATGTCATACGTAAAACAAGTTCCACCAATGCTCCTTTGTTTTGGCATCAACCTCTCCGTAATTCCTCCAAGGCTTTTGATAGTAGCCTGTTAGGGTACCGGAGACGACCTTTACCACGGGTTTATCATCAAACCTATATTAACGTACATCAAGATCAAAAAGTAAATAAGTACTTCATGTTAGAATAATCCATAGGTCATTGATATAAAATATTGATACAAAGGGATTGAAATAACAACTAAATACATACCAGCACGTGGCTGGGTCTATTACCACCCTCTGAGAAGACTGTGAGTCTTGTTGCCCCTGAAGCTGTTGCGCCTGAATCTGTTGTGCTCATGATGCTAAATCTGTATCTGTGTTTGAGGATTCTCGACGTCACCCAAATCTTTCGCGTCCTCCATTTCCACGTCATCATCATATATCAAAACTTGTCTTTTCTCTTTTCCCTTTTTTTCTCTTTGACGTTTCTCCTTTTTTCCCTCCCGCCATTACCACCTGAAAAAATGTTAGTAACATTCTATGATATTATTAACATCACAAAATTTAGAAGTACAATGAGATGTAACAGAATTAACAATAGAACGACAAACTCTGTAATTGGTTTTACAATAACAATCAAATTAAACCGACAATTACATTCAAAGTACAAGAAAATGCATATGCTTTGTTTTTTTACAATAACAAGCACATTCTCCTAGTCTTGGCTTTCATCGCTACTATCACTACTATCATCCAAAAACACATCGATGGCATTATCCTCATCACTGTCACTAGAGTCGACGCTGGATTCATCATATGATTCGCTTGAGATTACTAAGTCGCCATCATCATCTTTGTCGTAATCCTCAACTAGGTAGTAGCCAGGAATGTCATTCGGTGGATAAAGCGTTGCGTGTAATTCTGAGGACGGTGCCTCCAAAAACTCAAGGTCTACTAGAGCATCAACCACTGACCTTGCTTGTGTTTTAAACACAGACCACCATTGAACTTGATCCCATTTTAGGCTAGGGTAGGATGTGTAGTAAACTTGGGTCACTTGATAAGATTCACTTCGACAAGCTTGTATTGTTCATGTATGTTCATACCCCTACCACAATCCATCCAACTACACCTAAAAAAAATAGTCTTATACTCTTTTTTTGGACCAGTGTAGACAAGTTAAATTATATCGTCTAGAATGCCAAAGTACTCTCCGCCGTCCTTACTAGACACACACACACACACAATAATTCATCGTGGACTTGTGTTTGCCATAGGACTGTGTATGGAAATTAAATCCACCAACAAAAATCTGCCTCCAAGTTCGAACACGCTTGAAAGGACGCATGCACAATGCTTGGAGGTCATCTTAATTTGGTTTCTCTTCAACCACCTATTTACGTCACAATAGAAGAATTAATTAAAGTGAATTAGAATAAATAAAAGTCATATTTAAAGAACAACTAGAACATTTCTATCACTTTATGGTGAAACCAATCAGAGAATTCGACGTCACATTTCTGCATGACTTCTTTTCTATGCAAAAAAGGGCGGGTACTAAGAACGTTGTCCTCAAACTTCCTATTAGGTCAATGACACGAGATCAATTAGTAATTATACCAAATTAATTCTTCAAAACTATGAATAAAATTCAATCCTTAAAACGTATACCTTTTGTATTCACCAAGAATGTCGCAGTTTCGTAAAACGAACAAACGAGCACACTCAAGTTCCTTTTCATCTAAATACCGAGTTTTACCCTCAGTTGAGACACAACCGCTATCCACCGAGAACAACTCTGGTAAGTCAGCGTTGTCCAATGTGGATTCCATGTCTACATTCACATTTCGACCAAGATCCCGAGTTTTTGTGTCAACTGACGCCTGAAAGTAATTTGAGCAAAATTTTGCTATCTCTTCGATGAGATAAGCATTTCATATTAAACATTCAACTCGAGCCTTGTTCCCAATTTTACGTTTCAAGTGATTAAGGAACCTGCATTTAAATTAGCATAAATAATTGCGTAAATAGGTCATGATTATGAATGGTTTGTATGAAAGAAGAAGTTAATGGGACTTTGATTTACCTTTGAAGGGATACATCCATCTATATTGAACAGGACCACATAACTTCCCCTCATATGGCAAATGAATAGGTAAATGCTCCATAGAGTTGAAGCAAGCAGGAGGGAAAACCTTCTCAAGCTTGCAAAGGATTTCAGCTATGTTTTTTTCTAATCGCTCCATGTCACTAACTGTGATTGTGTAACAACACAAATCACGTAAGAATTGACTGAATCTCTATAACTGCATTCCAAATATGGGTAGGGAGCAATTCCCTCAAAGTAGTGGGCAACAACCTCTCCATGAACACTTGACAGTCGTGGCTTTTCAATCCATGAAGCTTACAAGCTTGTAAATCTACATATTTGCTCAAATTGGAGGCATATCCATCTGGAAAATGCAACTGTTTAACCCATTCACACAACACTTTTCTTTGAGCCTTGTCAAGAGCGAATGGGGTTTTTGGCATGAACTCTTTTTCTCTATCATCCTCCTGCATATGAAGTTGTGGTCGTTTATAATATTTGGCGATGCCATTTGGAGCCGATGGCGTGTCACATGTATGCTTGTTCATATCCATTATGGTAAGGATTAACTGATCAAAGAAGTTCTTTTCAATGTGCATGACATCCAAGTTGTGACGGATGAGCAAATGCTTCTAATTAGGAAGTTCCCTCAATGAGGTTTTCTTGAACCACCCTTTTTTTGCTTTTTTGAGGTGTTTCAATGCCTCCGGCCCATCAGTTTCCTTTAAAAGGTGTCTCACTTATTCCCACAATTCCTCACCTGATATGATGTGTGGCGGTGAACCTTTTTCGACTTTGTTTTTACAAAATGCAGTTTTGCTTTTTCAAAAAGGGTGATCTGTTGGAAAGAATTGGCGATGACAATCAAACCAAGAAACTTTGCCACTGTGTTCAAGCCAAAATGCTTTGCTTTTATCCACACAATAAGGAAAAGCCCTTCTTACCTGCTGTGGTCCAACCAGACAATATACCGTAAGCTGGGAAGTCACTAACGATCCAAAGGATGGCTGCTTGAAGATTGAAATTTTGTTTCCTTGAAATGTCATAAGTATTTGCGCCAACTTCCCATAATTGTTTCAACTCTTCTACTAACGGTTGCATATACACATCCATAATTGTTTCAACTCTTCTACCAACGGTTGCATATACACATTCAAATTTCCCTTAGGGTTCTTAGGATCTGGAACGAGCAATGAAAGGAACATGAATTGTCTTTTCATACACATTGAGGGAGGCAAGTTATAAGGGGTAAATATGACAGGCCAACAAGAATATTGTCCCCCAACTTACCATGAGGAGCAAAACCATCTGTACACAAGCCAAGTTGAACATTACAAGGCTCATTGGAAAATTCTGGAAAGCAATTGTCGAAGTGTTTCCAAGCTTCACTACCACTAGGGTGCGCCATTGTGCCTTGAACTCGAGGATTTTTCAAATGCCATGTCATTTCCTCCGAAATTTTCTTGGTTTCATAGAGCCTTTGCAATCTCGGTGTGATCGGAAAATAAATTAATACATTCAAATGCACTAAGCTACCTTTAGAAGTCTTCTTATATCGGTCGCTACCACACACCCGACATATAGATAGCTGAACATCATCCTTCCAAAATAGCATACATCCTTTTGGGCATGCATGAATCTTTTCATGAGGCAATTCCAACCCCTTTACAATCTTCTTCACCTCATAGAATGTGTTGACCATATGGTTGTTTTTAGGAATAGCCTCATTAACCAAAGAAGCAAACCCATCAACACATCTATGGGGAAAATTATACTCGCACTTAAGACTAGTAATTCGGGCAGCCATCTCTAACATAGACAATGAACTCCCTTCGTATAATGGTTGTTCGGAAGCTTTTAACAAATCTAAGAAATGCTTAGCTTGTGCATTAGGCTCCTCCTCTGCCTCTTCAGAATGCCCTTGTTCTTCTTTATGACCAAAAGCATCGAAAACCATTTCACGGTATTCATTTAACGACCCTTCAGGAAATCTCGAAAACCCTTCCCCATGGCACATCCACTGATAGTAATTAGGTACAAAACCCTTGCGGTATAAATGAATTTTAACCGTTTTCGCATCCCATAGCCGTTTTTTCTTACATTTGAAACATGGAAACCTAACTTCATTCGGGTTGCTGCTCTCGGGATGATCTTCCACGTATTTAAGGAATTCAGCTACCCCTTTCACAAATTCAGGATTAATAGAATGTTCAACCTTCCTTTCATACATCCAGCTACGTTTCGTTCGTTTCATGATTACAACTTCTACACAACTCACGAATATGTATACTCACATTAGTCACAATGCGTATTGAATATTCATTATCCATAAAAATGTTATAAATATGAAAATAAGATTGTAAATGATGTCCAAAGGTCCTTATCACTCAAACCTAACCCATCTTTGGGCATTTAATCTCACTAGCGAATGTATGCCAAGTTTTCAATTCAATGGAAAATCCGGCAGCATTTCCCTTAAGTTCTCCAAGTATACGATCTAGGCTATTAGATAACCCGTCATATGTACCCAGAGAACATTGTAGAGAAATGACAAGCCAGGATAATCCCTAGAATCAATAACAAGGAATACATTCACCACCTAAGTGAGAATAAACGTCTAAGGACAGTCCCAACCAGGGACTATTCAAGACATACTCCTAATGAGTATGCCTTGAACGGGTATCTAGGAAAATGATTATGCAAATGATTCATTCAAAAATATATAAAGCTAAAAATCCCAAATGACTTGCAACCGTTTAATCAGGTAAACATTGCTGACTTGTGATTAATTGCACACGTGTTGCATCATGATAGGCTTAAAAAAACCAAAACAAAACAAATTAAAAAAAAACCCATGCACAACCACCTCCACCACCACCACCACCCTCAATCGCCGAAACCCTAACCCCGACCCTCAATTTCGCCGGGAAACGGTCAGAAACCCCCGACTTCCAATAAAAACCACCGGCCTTCCTCCACCACCTATCCCAAACCCTAGAAACAACCCTAGCATAGTTGTTTTCGTGGCTAATTGACGGGGAAGGGGGTGAAATTAAGGGTAAGGGAAGGGAAAGGGATGGATTTCGAGGGTGAGGGAGGGATGGGCGCCGTTTTCCGGCAACGGGGGAGGGGTTTTCGTGAGTGGGGGAAGGACAGGGGTGAGCGGCGGATCTGGGGTTTTTGGGGTGGTGTTCGATGCAAGGGAGAGGTTTTTGGGGGTGGGGGAGGGGTTTTCGGGGGTGGGGGAAGGGGTGGGGTGGCTGGGCGGCAGTTTACGATGGCGGGGGAGGGGTTTTTGGGGAGGGGGCCAAAATTCCGGCGGGGTGGGGGTGGGGGTGTGGTGTTTTCCGGGAAAGGGTAGGGGGCTTAGTTTGGTAGTTTTTTTTTTAATATTTTTTCTTTTTAAATTTTTTAATTTTTTTGGACCTATCACGTGTTGACACGTGTCAAGGTAACCTGCTACATCAGATTGCCTGACCTGTTGGGTGAAATAGATATTAATACCCCTAAAGTTGGGAGTGATAGATAATAAACGAAAGTTGGGATTAATTTCGGCTAATGAGGCAAAGTTCATATTAATGGGAGAAATTTTTCCTTTAAAATATGCCAAGCAAATAACACAACCATTATAAAGTAAAGAACACAATTAATTAAATTATAATAATTATTATAAGTAAACCAAATATATCATAATCATCATTAAATTAATAAAAATAATCATATATAAACAATTAATATTCATAATTAAATTGATACAAACAATTATTAATCATTACATTAACTAAACAAAACTAATGAACACTATATTAAATTAAAAAAAACTAACATACATTATTAAATTTTAATAAATTAAACTAAGCAAACATACATCATTATACTTAACTAAACCAATATAAACTAACATATAATGCCGTACATTTTTATAATAAAATATCAACCTAAACTAACATATCATATCATACATTAATATACTAAAACAAAGCAAATTCACATGTCATGTCTTACATTATTATAATAAACCAAATTAAACTAACATATCAACCATTATTATAATAAAATAAACCAAACTAAAGTAACTTAAAATAAAAACTTGAATAAACTAAAACTAAGAATTTGAAAAATTATAATGTCACTAACCTCTAGATCTACACTTTTTATTGTGATTCAAAGCAAGTAAATGTTCAAATCCTACTAGTAGTAAATATTAAAATGTCAATTTTTATTCCAAAAAAATAAAAAAATATATAATAAAGGTACAATTACCGGCTGCAAAACGGCGGGAGGTGGATATGGTGGTGGTTCTAGTCGGAGCAAGGACAAGATTGGAGGAACTTGTACAAAAAGGGTGGTGGTGGTTAGGGTTATTTTTTTAAAAAAATAACCAGAAATAAAAAAAAAAAACCGACGGTGGTGGCTAATTGTAAAGGCGCCGACTGGAGTGACCTGAGACCGGCGGCGTCGGTGGCTGTTCAAACCAAAGTGGCATTTTTAAAGTATAATAAAAAAAACCCAAAACAACACTTATCGGCGGCGAAGAACTTCGTGAAGGCTAGGCGACGCAAGACCTCTGACCGGCAGCGGTGGTGGCTGTTCAAAGGGTCCGGTGGTGAGTGGAGGCGTTTTTTTAATTAAAATAATAATAAAAAAACAAAACCAAAACTACACTTACCGGCGGCCGAACAACGGAAGGGCTGGACGACTGTGACCTCCGGTGGCAAAAGATCGGCTGCGGCCTAGGGCGACAGTTCGACGGCGGAAGATCTGAGTGAAAGCTGCTTCCCTCCCTTTCTCCCTTTCTTTCTTTCTCTCTCTTCCCCCTTTTTTCCCTTTTGTAAAACTGATTTCAAAATTGTGAACACGTGATTTGTTTTCGAAATTTTCCGACGGAATTAATTTCGATCGGAAACTTTAATTTCCGACGGAATATTCCGTCAGAAATTAAATTTTTCGACCGAAATTAATTCCGTCGGAAAATTTGCTAGGGAAATTCCGTCGCAAGGACGATTTTCGGATGGTTTTTAACAAAAAACGTAGTTTTGTCGTTGATTTTATGTTTTGCGACGGAAAAAATGATCGGTCGGCATAATTCGGTCGGAAACGGGCCATTTTCTTGTATTGAGAAAGCTTTGAGTTATACCATTGATGATATAAAAGGTATAAGTCCACCTTTATGCATGCACAAAATTGATCTAGAGGGAGATGCCAAACTCGTTAGACAAAGGCAAAGAAAGCTTAACCCTTCCATGAAAGAGGCTGTGCGGAAGGAATTGGCTAAGCTACTTGATGCGAGAATTATCTACCTAATTGCTCATAGTGATTGGGTATCTCCCGTACAAGTTGTGCCTAAAAAAGGGGGCATGACGGTAGTGAAAAATGATCATGATTAACTAGTGCCTACTAGGCTTGTTACTGGTTGGCGCATGTGTATTCACTGTCGCCAACTTAAGACAAGTACGTGCAAAGATCATTTTTAACTACCGTTCATTGATCTAATGTTGGAAAGGATTACAAAGCATTCCTTCTATTGTTTCCTTGATGGTTACTCGGGATTTTTCCAAATCCCGATTGACCCCAAGGATTAAAAGAAGACGACTTTCACATGCCCCTACGGTACTTATGTGTATCGTAGGATGCCTTTCGGGATTTGTAATGCTCCCGCAACATTCCAACGTTGCATGATAACAGTTTTTAGTGATATGATTGAGGATGAGATAGAAGTCTTCATGGATGACTTCTTTGTTGGAGGAGCTACCTATGAAGATTGTCTATCCAATTTATCTCGTTGCTTAGAAAGATGTGAGGGAGCCAACCTCGTGTTGAATTGGGAAAAGTGCCACTTTATTGTGGAAAGTGGAATTGTTCTTGGGCACAAAATTTTCCATGCCGGCATTGAGGTAGATAGAGCCAAGGTAGAGGTCATTGAGAAACTTCCTCCTCCCACCAATGTGAGGGAAGTGAGATCCTTTCTCGGCCATGCCGAGTTCTATCGGAGTTTTATTAAAGATTTTTCATTGATTGCTAAGCCTCTCACATCCCTATTGCAACAAGATAAAGAGTTTGTATCTGATGGTGCTTGTCAAGAGTCTTTTGTAGGTTGAAAGAATCACTTTGCACCGCTCCTATTGTCTAAGGTCCGGATTGGTCTCTTTCATTTGAAATCATGTGCGATGCAAGCGATGAGGCTATTGGATCGGTTCTTGGGAAACGAAAGGATGGGAAACTTCATGTCATACACTATTTGTATAAAACTCTCAATAATCCCCAACGAAACTACACAACTACCAAGAAGGACTTCTTAGCGGTTATTCACTCATTTGAGAAGTTTAGAACCTACCTCTTTGGTTCTAGGACAATTGTGTACACCGACCACTCGACTCTCAAATATTTTATAGGAAATAAGGAAGCTAAACCGAGATTGTTGAGATGGGTTTTAGTACTCCAAGACTTTGATTATGAGATGAGAGACAAGAAGGGTGCCTAGAATGTGGTGGCGGATCACTTTTCAAGGTTAGGCGGTGCAAGGTTTCAAGATGATGGTTTGCTAATAGAGGATGCTCTAAGGGATGATGTGCTATATGTCCTTGAGGTGAAGTCGGAGCCATGGTATGCGGACATTGTGAATTATTTGGCTTGTAGTGTCGTACCTCCGGATTTCACTTCACAACAATGTCGAAGACTCAAGCATGAGGCCAAGAGATACATTTGGGATGATCCTATTTTGTTGAAGAGAGGGGTCGATGGTTTGTTGAGGAGATGCTTCCCCAACAACGAGGTTCAAAGTGTTCTCCATATGTGCCACTCTTCTCCTTATGGTGGGCATATGAGTGCTCAAAAGATCGCCTCAAAGGTTCTACAATCTATTCTCTTTTGGCCTTCTCTATTCAAGGATGCTTGGATATTTGTTAAGACTTGTGATACAAGTTAACGGATGAGGAATTTTTCTAGGAGGGATGAAATTCCGCAAAACCCCATCCTTGAGCTTAAAGTTTTTGATGTGTGGGCTATAGATTTCATGGGCCCTTTCATTTCTTCACATGGGAACAAGTATATTTTGGTTGTCATTAACTATGTCTCTAAGTGGGCGGAGGCCGTAGCTTCTCCAACGAATGATTCTAAGGTTTTCAAGAAGGTGATTTTCCCGAGATTTTGTGTTCCAAGGGCCATAATTAGTGATGGGGGGTAACATTTCAAGCACCACACTTTCTTTCGACTTCTTGATAGATATGAAGTGTCTCATAAGCGAGGGCTTGCTTA